CGACGACGTCGGAACGTGGACTAAGTGCAACTCATCTACCTTGGTATTTGGTTAGGCAATGTTCGAAAATTCGATTTGATGCAACCTTGCACCTGATCATAATAACGTATGGACCTGATAACCGGATAATCCGATCTACCCGAATAACCCCATTGGCAACCAATAATAAATAAATACTAATTTCTACTTATTATTTCTCCTATATATAACCAATAGCAACCATTTATAAACAAAAATTTCCACTATAAATTTTAAAATCCCCGTTTGAGCGCTTCCCCGGATGGCTGGTAGATGGGTGAAAAATATTTAACAACTTATTCTCAAACCTATTGAATATTCACACAAAATTTCATAAGAATCGGTAAAGTCGTTACGGAGTAGTGCGACCACTAACACTGTGACACGAGAATTTTATATATTTATATATATTTGATATATTTAGTATACCTTACCTTATAATACACATTATTTTGCCATACTCCGTAACTTCTATTACTGTAGGTTTCATAACAACAAAATCAAATGGTTTTTTTTCCGTTTAGTAATTTTATGTACGACTTATTTTCCGAAAAAAAATATTAAAATTGAACCTTTTTTCCTTGTACTTTTTTTCCGGGATTCCACGTAAAGGCGGGTTTCCACTATACACGTTTGCCGTGTACACGAAAAATGTTCAGCTATGCCCAACAACACGGTATCGTGGTTAATCGTGTGGTAACTGATCTTAACCAACCAATCACAGCAAATTATTTGTATGCACGGACACGCATTCGTGTATAGTTGAAACCCGCCTTAACACTGTCATAATATGTAACATATTTTCCGTTATTCACTAGGTACCTATAATAATTTTTATTTAAAGGTGAGTTTTCACTACCTGTACGTGCATAAAAATACTTTTCTGTGATTGGTTGGTATACATGGTAAGCTTTAGGTATACCAGAGTGTTTCTACGTTGTTACCACAAGCTTAACCATGGTACCATGAAGTTGGATCTAATTCAACTTTTTCGTGTTCACGGCTCTATATTGATAACAATATTGATAGCATATAAAGGCGGGTTTCCACTGTACACGTTTGCCGTGTACACGAAAAATGTTCAGCTATGTCCAACAACACGGTATAATGGTTAACCGTGTGGTAACTAATCGTAAACAACCAATCACCAATCACGTATGAATAATGTATGTAGAAATGTAGAATTATGTATGTAGAATAAGGGCCGTTCTTACAATGTCCTGTAAAGTGTCGGTTAACGCTAACCGACTGATAACAGATTTTATTACCGGCAGAATTCTTCCGGTTAAGTGTCGGTTAACTTTAACCGGACGTCGTAAGAACGGCCCTAAGTAATATTTATATATTATAATAAATTTTCTTTGGAGGATGTTAGAGAACTATTTGTTTTCTCCTTAGATCAGCGGTTCTCAAACTTTTTATATTTGCTTACCATCTACACAGTTTGAAATTTATTTTTTGCGTATCAAAAATAAGTATATACGTTGTTTTACATATTGTATGGAATTTTATTTGGAACTACAAAATTATGGCAATATAAGCATTTAATGCACAGAAAGAAAATGAAGTATGTAAAATTATTATTAATATCAAATAATATTCAATATAAATAATGATCCGTTTAATTTTTTTATAAATGGAGCTTTTCTTCGGGTACCACCTATATGAGTTTTCCAAGTACCACTATATATAGTGATACTAGTATCACAGGTTGAGAAAAGCTGCCTTAAAACATAAATTATGGGGTTAACTGAAAAAAAAAGTGTCCCGTTGCAGTATAAATAAAACGATATTTCCACTTTACTTGTTATATTTCAAATTGTATATATTTTATTATTATTACTTATTATTTTTTACAGCTGTACCCAACAGTACGGTTAGGTATACCTTTGGGGATTTTTTTTGTCCTAGATTCCAGAGTGGTAATCCAGACTGTATAAGACATTAAAACCATGAACTATTTGTCACGATAAGAGAATGGTTTTCAATTGGGAAAAAAAAATTTGGATGGCTATACAATTAAATATTGCAATCTGAGTATTCTAGAATAACGTCAGGGTCCTTCGGTATAGCTAAACCACAGGTGGAATAAAATCTGTGGCCAAACTTCAAAATTCCAAGAACCATAATTTGAATAAAATCATTGTCGAAGGAGAAAATGGGAGTTGGTGAATCACCCGAAAAGCTACATATAGGTATACAGTCGTAAGTCGTATACTTAAATACATTTCCACGTCACGCGATTAAACGGTTTCATTTCCATCAGAGATCTCGACCGGCAAAATATATTGTATTTCCGTGTTCTTCGTCCGGAGATCTATTTTCTTCTCCCCCCCATCCAGTACTGACGTCATGATCGGATCGTCGAGAATGCGTCATTACGTCATATATTATTGCACACGGTCGGTCGGACGGTCGGCAGACCGCGACGTCCAGAGGTCTCCCCGTCGTCACCGCGGCCGCGGCTGACTCATCGGTCCGTCTGTTCACCGCCACCGTCGCAGTGTTGCCGGCGTCCGCGGATAGGTGGCGCTCCACCCCCTACCCGGTCGATTATTGCGTTAACGTCTGCGGCGGCGGCGGACGTCCGCGCCGCCGCCGCCGCCGTGCCCTGTCGGATGTAATCGGCCGCCGCGCTCCACGACAATCATGCGGCACAGCGCGTTCGTTGACTCATCCTGTATATCATTTATCGTCCGCGACCGTGCCCCGGTCGGTACTCGGTGGTGCTATATTAGAGTTGCAGCGCCAGCGATCGGTCCGGTGTTATCACCACCAACAACCGCTGTTGTTGTTGTTGTTGTTATTGTATAGTTGTTGATAATGAATTAATATTATTATCATCATCTTCTTCGTCGTTTTCTCATACTTAATACGGTAATAATATCGTTCATTATTTTTGTCGGGTTTTCCTCGCGCCAAAACGTGTTCGAAAAGTCCCGCGTAATTCTGCGTGTTCTAAATTATATTTTCTGATGCCATCGAAGTTTGCGTTTTTCCGATGCGTATCCGTACGCACGAGTCCGCGGATAGGCGTTTCCGCTTCCGCCCGTGGTAGCGGCATTTTATCCTTTTGATATATAAATTTTCACTTCCGCCATCCACCCGTCGCACATCGTCGTTGTTTCGGCGGACGTCGTGTACGAAGACCAAGAGGCGTCTCCGATCGCCAGGTAAGACCCGTTATTATTATTTATAATTATAATTATTAATGTTGTACTAAGTCGGAGCCTATTTTCGTGAGCAACTCACCATGCTATTTGTACAAGGGGCATTGCGTAATGATGACTGTGGTCTGGGACACAATTCATATTATTGTATTCGTTTAAATAAATAAGGCAACATACGTGTTTCGATGCTGTTCTGATGTGATCATATGCTAAGGTTATAATGTGCCGTTTCTACCGTGTACGTCGTATCGGACGAAAAATGACCAAAATAGTACTTTTATTGTTTTTATTAATGTTTCCAGTGAACGATATCGTCGATACACCATTCGCCGCTCGGTGCTTTCGGCGTGTGGTTAAAGATACGAATTCGATTCTCCGAAATGTACAGCTCGTACAGTATTATATATAAGCCCGCATTTTGGTCGGCCAGCGAAATTGTAGGACCAATTGAGATTTTGTCACTTTGTACGATATTATATTTTATATTTTACATTTTTAGCCCACGGTGACCCGCCGAACGGTTGGTAAAAACGTATGCGATTTGTTTTGTTCGAGCTGACAAACGGGATCTTTTGACCGTGGTTATTGTTTTGTGCTCGAATCGCTCGTGGCTCGTCACAATAAATTAGTATATAATTAAGATTTAATAACGATATGAAACGCTCAATCAAACGGCGAATTCCCCATCGTAACGAGGCGGTCGTAGTACATATTAAGGTCTATAAATATCCTATATTAACGGTGCACACACGCCGCATACCTCGGGCGTATTGGTAATATATGGGGGGGACTACTATCTGGTCTGGGCTTTTAAATAATATAATATAGTTTGAGAAGAAAAAGTGACGATCGACGAGTATTCATAGTAAATGAAGCTTGAAAGCTTTTCGCAGAGCGTCTTAAACTCGTGATATACTGAAAAAAAACTCCGTTTCAAAAACGAAATATTCGACTACGCCAAAGTCTTTTCGAAATAGTTTATTTTCCCGTGGCTGCGTCAACCACGAACGTATTTGTACATATACAGTAAAGCCGATTAGCTGCGGCCCTGATTTAACGATATTTCCGAGTATTTGAGTACGTCATGGTGATGGTAATAATAATAATAATAACGTATACCGTATACGCGTTATTTGGTATTCCATTATTATTATCGTTTACGACAAAGACTCGTGAGTTCATCGTCGTCGCGGTCGGTGGGGGCGAGCGGGGGTACGACCGGCCAAATGTAAACTCCTACAAGAATAACCTTTTTACCTGAATCATCATTAAATGTAAACTCCTACACTAATAACCTTTTAAAATTTTTACCTGAAAATCAAAGATATTGTAATCTCCTACATAGAAATTTTTCCCTTTAAAAAATAGGGTAATATTACTTAAATTCACAATTTTGAAGTTGAAAAGCTCAAAAAGCTCAAAATTATCATAACTTGAAAATAATAAATATATATTATTTAATAAACAAACGCTTGAATAGAGCTTGTTTATACGCTGTATGATGATTCTCGAAGGTTAGATTATGTCCATATTATATACTATACTATACGTTCATATCGACACTTGCAGTACAAAATGTTATAAATAGATCAGCGATATGGCATCGAATATTGTCGAATAACGATAAAACATGATAATCTCGTCCGTATCGGAAATTTCCGAACAAATTATTACGTTTATTGCCGATATCGTAGTCCGCTCGTAACTATATAACTGTCAACTGTGTATTGTTTGAGTTTAGTCTAGTGAATCTTTTGCGTCTTTCACCGTTTTGTTAGTCACTCTTATAGTCGTACATTATTACAAATTGCAATGGAATTCATGTATAGTCAGAATGGTAAAAAGTTATTAATAGTTGATAAATATAAATTTTTTTTACATTATACTGCAAAAAGTGGCCAAAAAACTTGGCGTTGTATTAATAATAAGTGTCAAAGTAAAATTTACACAAATAATACAGAGGATGAAGTTATTGAAAAACATGTAGTTCTAATTCACAATCATGATAATGATACTACATTGAATCGCCAAGAAGTCAATAATTCACTGAAAAGGAAAGTAAGTGAAGACAATATTGTAGAAAAACCTTCCAAGTTTATTTTAACTGAAATCAAACATTTTAATAACGAAAATAATTTAAATACAACTGATCTCAATTATATTAGACGAAATGTGTATAATGCACGTAAATCTATTTTGCCACCTTTGCCTAAAAGTATTGAAGAAGTTCACGATACTTTAAATGTAATGGATATACAAACAAACCGTTCTGAACAATTTGTTTTATTAAATGATCAAGATAGCCATATTATTATATTTTCTTGTATAGAAAATTTAAAATAACGAATGATTACAATAATGGTGAATCTGAAATTGGAAAATTTTTAGTTCTCACATTCGGTTTACCATTATTGCAAGACGCTAAGGATATTGAAGATTGCTTTGTATTTGATTTGTTAGAAAATATGCCATCTGACGATAAAGTCCAACAATATTGCGACTATTTATCTGAAAATTATATTTTTTCGTTTTCATTATTTCCTCCAAAATTGTGGTCTTCGAATGATACTACAAATGCATGTGAATCATTTCATTCAAGATTTAATAGTAGTTTTTATCATCATCATCCAAACCTCCATTTATTCGTGAAAGTTTTGAAAGATATTCAGACCGAAACATACATTAAAATTAGAAGCAGTCATACAACACAACGCAGACAGACAAAAACTATTTCTAAATATCAATTTATACTTCATCAAAAAGATAAATATATACGAGGAGAAATTTCACGTTTAGAGTTTATCTCCAAAGTATGCCATAAAAATATACGTAAATGATTATGACTTCGTATTGTTTCATTGAATTTTTTATCATTTTTTTTCAAAAATTATTATTTTAAACGTATGTGATTTTGACTATTGTCTTATTATATTTTTCAAACAATTTTTGTTGTAGGATTAAATAATTATGAATATTGTATTATTAAAATTTTTATTATATTTTTCAAAAAAAATTATATTAACTAATAGTATTGTTTTATTGAATTTAAACATATTTTGTTTTTGGATTAAATGATTATGACTATTATTTTATTAACACTTTTATTATATTTTAAAAATGTATTATACTATTATTATAATTTATTATATTATTATAACTATATTTTTCAAATCATTTTTATATTAGGTATGTGTTAATATATTGCAAGACTGTTATTTTTTACAGCAATACGAGCGGTATTAATTTTTTGTAGGAGTTAACACTATCTTTTGTAGGAGTTAACACTATCTTTTGTAGGAGTTAACACTATCTTTTGTAGGAGTTAACACTATCTTTTGTAGGAGATTACACTACATTTGTAGGAGTTTACCATTCCCCGTACGACCGTCGTCAACTATAGTCACCGCTACCGCGGTCGCGCCGCACATGTGCTGTCGTATTGTCGGCGGCGGCGGCGTCGTCGTCGTCGTCTGTCTCAGCCCCTTGTCGGGTGTGCTAGAATAGGTTTCTACTGAAAGGGACGACAGATCTCCGCACTTGGGACGCGTTTTTATCATTTAAAATAATAATTTAAAAATGAGGTGGCGGTAATGTGTCGGCGCGACGGGGTCAGGTAGTCGCCCGTTCTGGGTATATTAATATCGGCCGACGGACTAAAACTGGTTTCGCGCATTTTCTCTCGGGACGGTTTATTATAGATCGTGTTCGAGCGATATCGTCGGATAGTCGTCGGAGATAATAACCGCGGCGACGACGGCCACAACAACAACGGCTGCACGACGACCACGGCTTGCCCTTATATATAATATATAATATTGTCGAGAACGTGACGACGATAACAGCGTGTGATCGAAAAAGGCCGAGGCGACGGTGGAAAAAAAGTCGGACGCGGTTTGACCACCACTCGGGGGCGGGGCGGGTGTCCGAGAGGTCGTTAAAATACCATAATAATAATAATAATAATAACATTATTGTCTATTATACAAACACACCACAACTTACTATACGTCGTAGTTCATGATAAAGTTGGTGGTAATGACCATCACAGTTCGCATAACATTATACGCGGTCGTCGATCAGCGGCGTCCTCCGCCGAGGGGTGGGGTCATATATTGTCTCCGTTCCCCACCGATTTTGCACCCTTTATGGGACGGCTGTACCCAATTGTTCCCGCTGCGATATAAAACACTGCAGCAGATCTTTACGAGATCATTCGGGAATAATATTATATATATTATAGGTGTTCTAGTCAACACAGTCGTTTTTTATTTCACTTTATAATCATCGACGTTTGTGCTCATTGCAAATACAATAATCAACAGATTGTGTAATTCTTAATAAAAAAAACGCGGTCGTCGGTCAGTTCTCTTAGTGGCGTGATAAGGGGGCAGGCATATTGTCATCGTTCCCCTCCGATTTTGCACCCTAAAATTCGGCTACACCCAATTATTACCGCTACAATATGAAATACTGTTGCAGAAGTACGTACGACTGTAAGAGATCGATCATACAATATTTTATTCTAGTAAATACTGTCGTTTTCTATTTCGTCATTTGCGCTCATTATTTTACATAAAATAATTAACAGAATGCGTAATTCTTAGTAAAAAAAAAAAAAATGAAATCATTATCATTATTCTCATTATGTGACCGTTCATTGTTCTCCCGGTAGGCCGCCCGATGATGGCCCCGACGACAACGACGACGACATAATATATCAGTATAATAAACGAACCGTTATCGCGCGTCACCAGAATGTGACTGTCACGGTTATTTTAATGGACAATAAACAAGTCGTGAGGCGTAGTAGTAGTAGTAGTAGTAGTAGTAGTAGTAAGTACTGTTGTAGTAGTAATGGTAGTAGTTGTAAGTAGTAATGCGGTGGCCCCGAAATTAGAATTCACTGTCCGCCAGCGACGACGCATGCAAGCCTCTTATTCTTCTTCCTAGGGACAATGAGTTGAACTCTGTCCAAAAATTCGAAAATCCTGACGGACGTGCAACACGACGGCCAAAAGCGGATGCTGATCTCGTGCATTATTCACGCCGATCACTCGGACGACACGTGTAGTGCGCTCTACTGAGGCGTCACCCTCTCGGCGCCGAGGCATAGGGACGGCGGCGGCGGCGGTGATTTAGGTGGCGGTCCCGACAACAGCGGACAGACCGCTGCCGCGACGGGTACACTAGAGACGACTCGGACGGGAATCGTCGGCAATTATTAATTGCGAGGACGCGTAATTACTGCAGCAGGCGTCACGTAATTTCGTCTAAATTCTCCGAGCGAGAATTGTGTCAGATATACGTAAATTATATTGTTGTGTTGCGGACGTCATTGTTGCCGGTATACATATATATATATACTTTATCGTAAATAAATGACAATTTCTCGCCTACTATCGTCGTCGCCGTTACTACTTCAGCACAACTTCAGTTTTTTTCCGCACTGTTAATAATAATAATGTAATCGGCACGGCGCATCAATTACAGCTGATAATGCTTTTAAAAATGAGTGTTTCGCGAACAAGTTTAAAAACGGTAATTATATTTCCATCGCGTCGTCGTCAAACGGTTTAATACCCATGTCGTGTCCCCTATATTTTCCGGATTACCTACTTAAATCATCTAAAACATCAAATACGATTATTATTATAAATTGTACTTAACGTTAATTCGTCACACTCACTTTAATTCGTCGCGATCCATAAGTAGAGGGACTTTCTGCTGCTTTCGTGAACTGTTTTTAGTGTGCAAATCATAAAATATAGTAATAATAATGTCGTCCGAGGTTGTAACCTTTTCGTGAATTATTCGAAAAATATGTTGCATTAACGGTTTCTTTCTAAAAAGTTTTGTTATGAGATCGTAATTTTAATGCTCTCGAGTCTTGACGCAAATGTCTGAGAAGACTTAAAAACCGTGGTTATTCGAGTTTAAAATTTATTACGAAGATAAAATGCCTATATTTATAATTCATTTTGTTCCCTAAACGTAATATAATGTTCAAAAATATTATCCAATAAAAACTGGCAACAGCCTGTGTACCATATAGAAATATAATTTTTCTTGAGTGTTATAACGATATAACATAACCAAAGATAAATACGACGCCATGTTAGTCACGTATCTCTACAGTTTATTTTACCGACTGAAGTACCTTCCAATATTATGAATTGTTATTGATTTTATGTCAAAATCGAACTCATATCGACCATTGTGCACAGTACGTACTTTCTCAATCTAGTCAATTTTAAGCTACGTCGATACGTAGGGCCCAAGAGGAAATCATTGAAAGGCAAACTTTTACATATTAATCCGACGCGATTTTCAAAATATGTTTGAAAGTAAAATATATTTTTAATTAATCGTTTACTTCAATTATTTTAATCAACACGAATCTTGAAGAATTTAATCCCATCTCCAGGCCGTTTTGTGTGTTTAAAATAATTTTTTTCGTATTACTATATCTCAACTAAAAGGGATATTAGTTTAATTTTACACGACAGACTTCCATGTGTATTATAATTAATTTGTTTATTTTCAAGTGTCCGGAAACATTTGGTGGCAGTCAGTATAATGTATGAAATACCAAGGGGCAAGGCCGGCTAGGGTACATCGCGACGTTTTAATTATTTTTAAGTGGATTGATAATATATATTTTCTACAGTCCCAGACATTTAAAAATAATACAATACCGCGGGATAAAGTTATAAATATTTCTTCGCTTTTAAAGTAAATCGTATGAGAAAATTACAAGCCATAATTTACCCAAAAATACTGGTAATCTACTTAAGTGTTTTAAAAATAATCTACTTATCGTCTTTAAATAGATATATATTATAATATATTATATTATTTATGTCGTACACGTTTTGTAAAGTCAAGTCGTATTATTTATCTTATAATTTAAAATTCATGAAATAATAATAATAATAATGTATTAATGTTGAATTTTTATTGAGATATGTGCTGTATGTTTATATATAAATAATTTTATTAAAAAATGGAATGATAACAATTTCTATCGTATATTGGCATTTCTCCTGCCCTGTTTATTAATCTTATTAAAGATAAATATTATAATAGGTAATATAGGTAATACCAAATGTGTAAGTACCTACCTCTACCTATGTATATTTTATTTTTATTGAGTACACTTTGTCTGGGAAAACAATACGTCTACGCATAATAAAAAAAACATGACGTATGTCATTAATTTAACTGTTTGTGATCTCTTGATCACAGTCTCAATGTTAATTATTTAGTTGGATATTTTTCACTTTATACGTATATTTGTATCACTTTTTTATTTATTCATAGCAATAATATGTACATTTGGGTTG